TTTATTTATATTTGACACAAAAAAAAAATTACATTGAATATCTATTTTTAAAATATGTACTTGTAATTTTTCATTGGAGTTCTGAATTTCCTCCAATTGCAGTTTGCAATAATTTCTATTAAGTGAAAATGTTTTCAGAACTGAAAAATGTAAAGTTTAATCTAATTTTTGAATTGTTAAGATTAGAAGGCTAAGACTATGGTTATAAAGTTCTATTTTAATTTATTATGAACAAACGAGAATGGGCAAAATTTAAAGAACTATAAATATACCCAATTTACTTTTTGTTTTATTATTTCAGTTAATTTTAATTTTTTTTTTTCTTTAAGAAAAGAGGAATAGCTGAGGCAACAGCAACTTGAGCTGACAGATTGGCCAAAATAAAATGATTTTAGTTTTCCCAAAATTTATTTTGAAAAACATCATTAGAGACTCTCTAAAAGAAGTCTAATGATTCTGTTAGTGAATTTGTCACTCGGTCAGCAATACAAATTTTGATGTTCAACCTGACTGTTGTTCACAAAATGAACACAGTATACCCTCTTTTTGATTTGTGTGCATAGAGATCTGAAACCAACTGATTATTAAAGACGAGACCTTGCTCTACAAAGAAGTGTAAAATTCATTATTTTAGGTGTTGAATTTCTCTGGTATTTCATCCATTAAAGTTTTCAACTTTGAAATTTTTGTGAAAAATGACTGCAAACCTAATGGTTCCCATTGACAAGTGTCCTTTTCTCTTTTAAAATGGGATTATTTTGATATGTGTAAACAGATACAACTCTGAGTGCAACTAATTTGAAAAACACCAGTATGAAATTGCCAACTTTGAAAACACAGAAAATTGCTGTCATTGAAATAGTAAAATAATTTAAACAGACGTTGAATAAAAACTAATTATCATACATGAGAAATATTTTAATCTTTAGAAAAAGAAAAGATTAAATTTTGTTTACATACTAATTTTATCAAAATAGCCTTGAAAATAAGAGATATCAGCAGTTGGGAGGGAATTTCATGATTTTGACATATGTTTGCATTGGGATGCCTAATTTAAATGTTTTGTTCCATTTTTTTTTTTTTTTTTTTTTTTTTTGGTCTTTCTCTGTAAAGAACTGCTCTAGTTGCCTTTTGCCTTTCTTCTAGGGACTTTTTCATTTTTATTGAAAATTCTGTAAAAACTGAAAGAAATGGTAATGAAGTTGCATCTAGTGAATGTTAGTTGAGTGATTACGTCCCAGCCAAACAGTAATAACTCTTGCTTGATCACCATATAAAAATATACTTTTCTATTATTTATACACGCTTTTTTGATTCTGGATACTTTTGTAATTGGGAACAGTACTTGTTTGAATTGATCATTAGGTTCTAGAGAAGGAGCTCATAATAGTTATTGTTCCCAATCACACTATATACATGGTAATGCTTTCTTTTGGGTCATGATCAGCTTTTGGTATATTTTGGGGTGGTTCATTGCACTTGATTCACAATCTCTTGTCTTAAACATTGTTGTAAGCAATCTAATTCCCATCACTTTTCACAACCTTTGAAAAATTGGACATTTGTTAAACTCATTTTTCCATTAATAATAGTAGTCATATGTGGAAATATTTTGGTAGACTTATTTTCTCATCTGACAGCCAAACATCAAAGCAACTAACATAGTCAAGCTTTGCAAATGATTTTCAATTTCTGACTAGGATATTTTGAATCTCCCATGTTCTATGATGTTGACTATTGTCAAGTAATGTTTGTTTTGATTGTGAATGATCTGACATAAGTGAGAGGAAAGAAAAGAAGCATTTTGTTTATAGTTGGCTCAAATTTACCTCATGATAAAAATGTCATAATATAGTGAAGATGTTGATTATTTATCTTCGGTATAGATTTGATGAAGAAAAATATAAATTCTGACAGTTTAAAAAAAAAAAAAATCCATCCTATCAAAATGCAATCAAAAGCTACCTTAAATGGAGTTGGTTTCAAACTAAACTCTTTTAATGTCAAAAAGTTCAATCAATCCAATACTTTTAACATTGAAATAGTGAAATGTCTTGAGTAAAATAATTTTATTTGTAAAAGAGTAGATAAAAAAAGTTCATGGCCTAGCATTTATTAACTGCATTTAAGATCTGAACTTTTCACTGTATAATGTACTGTCCATATTAAAAAAGACTTGCATTGACAAGGAATCATTGTTGATAAATAACTTTGTTAAATGGCTTTTTTATCATTACATTATGGACTTATTGATTTATCCACATATTTTAATTATATGGTGACCTTTTTTGTATTAGCTCTCAAATTGTTATAAAACAATTACATTATTTTAAGTTAATGCTGGAACATCATCAAGATATGGAAGTAAATAAAAAGATCCCAAAACTTGACAAATGTAATTCTGTTAAAATTATTTCCTTCATGACCAGAAGTTTTCCTGATTGATAAAACTTTAGATCACATCTATCTTAGTATATTTGATATTTGCCATGCTCAATAATAAATTTTATAAGGTATAAAAAAAGATGTGTGTGAGTGATATATAATTATAATAAAAAGAAATAACAGTATGATATATAATCTGGTGTTCTTATAGATATTTTTTATTTTTACAAAACAGTCCTCAGTGTAAATTTACAGAGCATAAATATTATAAATTAACCAATTTAAAATATGGTTTCTTCGCTACACGGTAATAACCATGATTCAAAAACCGTTAAAAACTAAATAAATAAATATATATATAAATATATATATATATATATATATATATGTATGTATATATAATGAACACTCGCACACCAATATTTATGGGTGTGTATCCTACATAAAGGACAATTTTAAAGTTTCATTTTTTGTTTTTTTAATGCTTTTCAGTTTTTATTTTAAATGTGAAGTTTTTCGCTCTCAGGCTCAAATATTTTTGCAATTTTTCTGTTTATAATACAAAGATAAAATAATATTGCATAAGAAACAAAATTCTAACCATGTAAATTTTTTCCCATCCCCAAAATTTGAGAGGAAATTTAATTTGAAATGGTTCACTTATACAGGCAATTTATAAGGAGCAAATGATTTTGAGAGATTTCTCAATCTACTCCATAGTTTTAATAGCTTTGTTAAAAGCAAAATGTTGCTGAGATTCAAATCTAGATTTTAGGATGAGGTTTTGTTTTAAAAAAAAGTACCCCCCCCCCAAAAAAAAAAACTGCAGCACTTTATTGTAAATGTGATGATCACAACTTACATTAGTCCTGTCTCATTATTGATTAACTCTGTAGGAGAGTGTCTGTTCATGTATGTGGAGTAATATCCATTCTGCTTGCCTACGTTGCAGAAAAATGTTTTCAATCTTTCTCTACAGAAATGCAATATGCATCAATAAGTACAGAGAGCAGTTTTAGGTGGTTCCATCAATTAACTATTTGAATTGTTACACACCTTTATACATATGCATCTTAAATATATGGAGTTGTGCAATCAATTTAAACTGTTGATGTCAATTTATCTCCCAACTGCTGTTATGGTGAAAACAGTATTGAGATTAATATGGGGCTCTTGAATGCATGCATTTCAACAAGCATTGAAATTGTCCATTTGTTATAGTGACTTATAACCCTTCCTTTTAGCATGTTAGAGAGATTCTACTTCATAGTTAGGCTGATAGATATTTTTCCCTCTACCTCGCTAAAAAGTGTGAATAATTGAATAACTGATCCCAGTTCTGAATGGTTGGCAGTTTATTGAAAATTTCTTAATGTAATATTTCAATGTTTTTATTTTGTTTTTAGTTTTTTAAATTTAATTTGTTTTGCTTTTAATCAAAGTTGTATTGGGTTTGAACAAAACTTTTGTTGTTTTTCAATAAGTGGCATTTGAAGACTTGATTTTGTTTAATGTGTGACTGACCTTTATGACATGTACATTGAAAGGTCACATTTCAGTGCATCTTTCTATACAGTTCATGTACAGATTGTGAATGTTAAATATTTTTATGTGAAAATGAGATGTATTTTTTTCTTTTTTAATTTGATCCTCTTTTGTTTCTTGTGGGGGAGGAAAAAAAACACTGTACAAATAGCAAAAAAAAAGATATGTACCATTTATGGAGATTGTGCCATAGCTGTAAGTACAGCTTGTTTCAGATGTTGAAATATTGATTAAAAAAACCAAGAATATTCTAAGGTGCCTGCAGTCATTGATGATGACTGCTGATTTAAGAATAAAATAAAAATAAAAAAAAAAAGCCCATGACCTGGGACATCACTATAATTTTTGGGTGCCTCATGATTTAACCAAAAAAAAGTTAATGAACTGCATATCCATCTACAATCTTTTTACTCAAGTATGCTCAAAAAACAACCCGTTTTTGAAAAGAATTGCATGCTATGAAAATGTGATTGTTTTAAACAATATAGAGCAAAAAAAGGTTCTGGGGTGGGGAATGAAATGAGTCACTGTTAACCCCTCCAAAAGCTGCGACAAAAAAAAAAAAGTTAATTTGTATCTTGTGGTATTGGGAAAGCATTGTGTATTAGAATCTCCTGTGATATCAAATGTTGAATTCCAACAAGTGCTGTTCCTAATTGAAACAGTCAATGAAAATACTCTCAAAGAGAACAACTTCAAATCTATGGAAGCCTGTAAAAACCACTGAGATCAGATCATCACTCAAAAAGCTGCCAAGTTCTGAGAGGATGGACTCCTGAAATTGCCTCAATGATGACAATGTAGTGGAATAAAATGGTGCCTATGTGCTTGAAACGTGTAAATATTGTTTGGAATTAACTTAAAAAAAATGCTCCAAACTTTGTTTGAATCCAATATTTTATGCAGACTTAGAAAAAAATGAAAATCTTCAAGAACAATTTATAGTGTTCACTGTTGTCAATCTTGTGCTTGAAAAGTTAATGTGTTTTAATCTTACAGTTGATTGCTATTTTGGCCTTTGTATTTATGCACTTACTTTCATTTTTACTCCTTACTTTCTTTCTCTCTAGGATCCTTCATGTATTCCTAGCCTTAAGAAGGAGAAAAAACTCTCAGCCTCAGCTAAGGAGTTTGTGCCCAGGTATATACACATGGTCTCAGATGAGGTTAGTCTATTATCACATTTGCTTATGAAGATTAAAATGTGTGTGTGTGTGTTTATTTTATTTTTTGTATGTGTTTTAAGGATTTGATTTATATAACTTAAATTTTTTTTTTTTTTTTTTTTTTTGTATAAACTCTTTGTGATATTGGATTTTTGTGCTACGCATTAGGTGAAGATTGTTCCAAGAGTTTGGAACCCAACAGTTTTAATAACAGGAAATAAATGCTTTGTTTTGTTTTCAGTCATCCTGAATACAATTCATCTTCAAGGGATCTCCCTATACCCTGATAACATTTACCAGCCCAATGCTTCTAATTCTAATTAAGTAGCCCTAATGATAAAAATATTGCATGCAAATATAGATTTCTTGTGATACAAACTTTTTCAGAATTAAGAATTTAGCAACAGAAAGATATGTTAATTTCTAGTACTGATTTTCATTCATAATCATCAGTTGATTCAATTTTTCTATTGCTTCTGGAATGTATATCACAATGTATATGAAGCAATGAAAAGGTAAAAATTTGAAAGCCATCTATAATATGCATTACCTTGATCTTGTGGTATGACTTGCATGTTCTTTATAACTCGGAGAGCTATGCTGGCATATCCATTTGATCCAGACAGGTCAATGTGTGCCAAATGAAACCTTAGTCATTTAGAGGAGCCCATTTTATTGGCTAGGAAGAAATCCCAACATGAATTTGTGTGCTTCTACTTATAAATTGGGGAGGGGAAGTTCTTTGCGGTCATTCCAAATAGTATATGGCACTTTGACATGGTGTAATGATTAGCAACCTTGTTTCACTAGAGCAATTTATGGTGAGTTTGATACTCACTGGGTGCCCCATAATTTCAGCCTTGTGCCACATCTAAGCTATGCTTAAAAAATCACTTATAATGAATGAATGGGTTGTGATTCTGATTAGCTAGGTTTGGGATAGTTTAGATCAGCCTCACCTCACTTCCCCTTTGTTGTGCAATACAATAAATAATTTCATATTTGGAATCAACAGTACTTTGAATCTGTGATTTAAAAAAAAATAAAAATAAAATCAATTCTTTATCCTACATCATTCATAGTGTGGGTTTAGACTGGTGTTTCTCAACCTTTTTAAGCAACAGCACACCTAGGATCAAATGAAAATACCATATCACACTTAGCAAAATTTTTAAAGGGTATACATTTAAGTGTTATGAAATAACACCATAAATTAAAAAAAAAAAATGCACATACAAATATGAACTTATTTTATTTCAGCATTTCTATTCAACTATTTGTGTAGCTTATTTAGAATGAAACCTATGACTGGTGTTTTCGTTGTGATTTTTTTCAATGTTTGGTCAAATGTGTGATAAGCAGACCCTCATTTCTTGAGCATAGCCTTTTTCACTTATTTTTGATATTGTTTAGGGTTGAGAAGTGTAATTCACATAAATAGGTCAAAAATTGCAATGAAACTGATAGACTTTTTAGCTAATGTGGGATATTCATTTTGTATTGAAATCCAAAATGTATCAATGGGTATCGTTGAATGTTTTCTTTTGAGCCCACAATCACTAGAAATGGCCAATTCTTCTTTGCATAACTGAAGTCCAGTATTAGAAGGAACATAGATGAAGGTATTTTGAATTTAATTTTACTTTTCTGTGCTCAATGAAGGAAAATAAAAGTTGATGTTTTTGTCATTACTACTTCCACACATGCACACATGTATGTATGCCATGATAAAATTTTGCGGTACATGGTTGAGATTCACTGGTTTAGACAGTAATGGAAGAAACAAGTCAATGGTATTTAGAGTTCGCTTCAAATGAGATATTGTATGAAATTTAAGTAATTGTTAGATTTTTCTTTTGATATTATTTCTTATGACTATAAACATTACGTTAGTAGGTACACAGATTGACATCTCTATAAATGTGCTTCCCAACAGGAATTGAAACTGTATTCCCTTTCTTAATTAGGGAAGTCACTTTTCAAGCCAAGCGTGCTCAACTGAGACAAGTTCAATTGCTGTTATTGGTTGAGCATGGTAGAAAATAAGAAAATAAAATTTAAAAAAAAAAAGGTCCTTTCCATGATCACTAAACACTTTCCATGTTTGAAATCAATTATGGAGTGTCAAGAGATCCCAGTCCATATACTTTCTAGTACAACTTCAGATTAGAATTTGTAAATAAAATGAACATGCACAAACCTATAAGATAAATGGACATTTTAAAAGCAATATTATAGGAAAATGGAGTGTAAGAATTTTTTTTAAAAGAAAATTAAGCAGGTAAAAAGAAAAGGAAAAAAAAATAATACTAACGAATTGTCATTCCTCACTCTTCAGAACCTTGTATCGAGGAATAAAATATCTAGTGTTCTACACAAAGTAATTTTTTAAAAAAAGAGTATTTTCATTGACTGTTACCGTTTAATTCTTTCAATTAGGAACAGAACTTTTTGTTAAAAAAAGATTACCATTATGAAAACAGTTTTATCATCAAAATGTTTTGTTAACAGGAAAGTATTTTTTTTTTTTTTTTTTTTTTTTTATTATTATTTAAAATTTTTAATACTTTCTAGCATGTTCAAAGCTTTTCTTATATCAGTAGAATGGCCAAAGATTAGTATTAAGAAATTTAGTGTCTTTTTAATTATTTTATTTTTATTTTATTAACCCCATCCATAAAATCACATTTTTTATGTTTGCAGTCTCGGCATAAAAAATAAAAAGCCAACACTCAATAATATTAACTATGAACACGGCCACAATGTGCTGTTTGGAAACTAAAACATTCCTATAACTCTAGAAAAATACACACAACCCATAGACCCAATTAAATAGCAAAAATAAAATCATCCATGATAATGGCTAAAAGTATGGCCAAAAGTGCTCGGAATTACAGAACATTTGGACAGTTTCTACATACTGTGTCCAGAAAAGAAAACACTTGTTTGAACGCAAGAAGAATTAATTAAAAAGCTTAATCACAGTATTTTATCTGTCGTCTTTAGTGAAACATATACATAATTTAAAACTTTCAGTAAATAATCATTGTTTCAAGTCAGATACTTCAAATCTGCTAATATTCCTCAAATAAAGTTTCAGAAAAGTAATATTTTATTTTTGGAAGATTTTTTAATAAAGAGAATTACATTGTGATGAAAGGTGACTAAAAGGGGGAGTGATAATCAAATTTTTTTAAACCCCCCAAAAAAAAACTCCTTCCAGTCAATTTAAATTATTTTTTGAAATGCAGCAAAGTATTTTGCTTATGGGAAACATTAAATTTAATCTATTAGTTTGAAATTAAAACTGAAATAAAAGCTTCAAGAACAAATTTTCATTTTGAAAAATTTATTTTAAAATTAGGTAACTTTCTTTTCTTAATCTGGTGGTACCTATTATAAATGTTAATTTTAGTGAATACACCAGCTTGAGCAGACAAATGAGGCACATTTCTCTTTAGTAGGATTTCTTGATTGGGTACAAAAATGAATATAGCCGATATAGACTGGAAGAAGCCCCAATTTGCATTCCTGAAATAGGTAATTAAGCTTTGCTTCCCGTAGCCAAATTAATAATGGCACAATTTAGTTAGAGGAATGGTTTCCTTGATGAAAAAAAAAAAAAACTATGCAGGTTTGATTCTTGTCCAGGAGCATGGTTTTCTTTAGTAGGACTTCTCTATCTAAGCCTGTTGATATTAATTTCACTGTTTAAGAAAAAAAAAAAGAAAAAAAAGTGATATCGGTTCACACACATGTACCCACTAAAAATGAGTCATAGTATTAAGAAATATTTATACTTCTCCAAACAAGTTTTGTTAAATTCAACTGACAAGGTCTGTCTATTTAATATTTTTATATTTTTTTGATTTCTGAGTGGGGTATTGTATGCCCAAATTGAAATTATAAATAACCCAATATCAATCTGTTATGCAACTTCTCATCTGGGAAATTGAAAAATTTAATACAAAAATTATTTATTTAGATGTGGACTATTGTCCTCATCACAACATTTTGGCTATTGTGCCCCCTGGTCTATGTCAATCTGGGTAACTTTCAGGGAATTCCAAACTGTAGCGTTTATTTAATCTGTGGTGGTAAACTGTTCTTATTCCACTGCTTGTGTCTAGAGATATCTTTGAATTCTCTGTAGGCTACCCAGATCAATACACATCAGATGATGGCAGTGGGCACAACAGCTGAAATGTTGTGATAACAACAAAGATGAGGACAATGAATGTAAATAACACCTCATCCCAGAAATTCAGACAAAAAAAAAAAAAATTAAAGACAGACTTTATTGGCTGAATTTAACAATTTGTTTGGAGTAATTCTTGGTGTCTAAATACCTTTTATATATATAACAACTCCTAAACTGAACATCCAAGATGTTCGGTATTGATGGTATGGTTCAGATTCGAGGAAGAATAGGCTGCTGTGGCAAGCTTAAAATTTTAAGTTTAAGATACAAACTGTAGTTTGTAATGTTGATTCATTTTTATTTAAAGTGTTGGTTTAATACATAAATGTACAAAAAATAATTGACAACCAATAATAATGAAAAAAATTTCTACTAAAGAAATATTGTAATTTGTGAAAAAGACACTTTATGAAATGTTAAAAAATTTATGAAAGTTATAAATTTATCATTCATCCATTGTCAGATCTTGAAGTTTTCTGAGTTCTTCATTTGGATTCATAAGTTATTTTTATGACACTTTTGATGCAAATATGACATCATTCTTTCAATTTAAAATTGTGCAGTTTCTTCTTGATAATTTCATTTTGTCAATAAAAATGTTTGGATTTGAAGAGGAGTTTAAAATTCGAGGAAATGTAGATTATTCTATATTCAGATTTGGGGAGATCTAGTGTGTGTGTGTGTGTGTATATATATATATATA